AATGAGCTTATTCGGCGCGAGTTTATTCTCAATCTTCAAAGTGCTACGAAGAAGACACGTCAACTATACTTCAAGTATTCATTCTAGCTCTATCGGCAGTTTTCGAGAGTTGCCATGGCATGGAAATGCTGCAATTCGAATTATGATTTTCTATACTTGAGACCATACCGACATAAAATACGAACTTTTTTAGTTATTTTTCATAAATAGGTAAAGGATGTTATTGGATGCTGCATCCTGATTTATATTATATGTTTGAAAATGGCTCATTTTTACCACGATGTCGTCGTCGTCGTTTTAAACAAAAATCATCAAATAATCATCATTGACATCAACAATAGGAATATACGTATAAAGCATCTGATTTATTATACGATATGATAGAATTTATATTTTTCTTTCCTGTATTATAATTGTTATGATTTTTTCTCGTATTATTGTTCTGAATAAATAAATGATATACAAAATAATTATGATAAATTTGCTGCATAAGTTGGTAGCTTCAAAAAGAACTTCAAGATGTATGTCAAGCTTTTCTATTATTTTTATGATAAGATGATAATAGAGGAAATTTTGCCGGGATTATAAATAAGAGAAAACTGACATTTTTGACTGTTAAATATCATTATTATCCTATTATTGATTTTTGCAGTGAGTTATAGCAAAAAATTCTAAGGTATATTTCATTTTTAGAATAATATCAAAGAAAATTAAAGAAAATACATATCTTAAATAAACTCTATCAATTGAAAGGTTTTTTCCTTCTATCCCATGTCCAATAAATAGTTCAATCGAAGCAAGAAGAAAAATAACTAATAATATTTGAAATATTCGTATTCGTTTTTGTTCCATTATACCCAAAAGAATAAATGCCGATAAAATGATTATCAACATTATAACAGGCATTTTTTTTAATAAACGAAAATAAAATTCTAATGCAAGTCCAATAACCAACATTGAAATAATATGACTAAAAAAATGATCAACATTTTGACGAATAAATTTTGATAAAGGGATTAACCAAAGAAATTCCAAAACACTAAAAGCAATTGTCGGTACACAAGTTTTATTAATTAAAATATTAATTGAATGTTGATGCGATAAAGAATATTCATCAGATCAGGCATGCAATTGAATTGTATTGTTCATGAGAGTTAATAAAAAGAAAATGAGTATAAGAGATATATTCATTCATCTTAGATACATGCAGAAATGTTAAACAAAACAAAAACCATGGGTATTTTTTTGCTTTCATCTCTTTATTTCGAAAAGTACGACTTGTATCTTTGAAAAAAAAGTTTCTATTCTATACAAAGGTTAAAACAAAAAGTTTAAAGATCATTTTTAAATGAACGATTACATTGAAATAAAAATGCATTTATCATAGCTTTGATTAAATATTTGAAGGCAAGAAGTTTTGATATTGCCATCGATTCTAATGTAAATTGAGCATAGATTCGTGCTTCATAATTACATGCTAATTTTTACCAGATTTTTTTCAATATATGATAACCAATCAAATAGAAATGATAAAAGAAATTCTAATGATTCATTAACTAAAACTGGGTTTTCAAAAAAGTTCTGAATTTTTCTTTTGAAATGTGACTTGTATTTTTCATTTTAAACAATTGATAACTAATACTATCGTTATTAGGTTGCCACTTATTCCGCATTTTGAACGTTTTGTCACTTTTTCGACTGAATGAGGTGGCAGCTCTGATCATTATCTATATAGTTAATCTGTTTGAAGTAATTCAGGCTAATTTTTAAACAGGAAAATCTAAATCGTTTGAACTATTTAAGTGATATTAACATCTAACTTTTCCTGATAGAATAAACTATAGTCAATGTGCAACACTACTATACGCATTAGTCTCCTGATTTTTTTTACTTGCTTATTCGAATATCGAACTCTAGACCAATGTACACATTATTATAATTGAGGGTGTGGGCATAGATAAATCCTTTACGCACACCCTACTTCTCATATTCTGTCTGATAAAAAAAACGCCAGATGGATGTAGTGTTGTGCGCAGCAGAAAATATTTTTTTTCTTTCGTTCGGTTTTTGATCGCAATGCAAGTAATTATTGGAGTAAACACCGATTCTATTTATCGAAGAGAGAAAAACAACTTATTTCCACATATAGATATCGAAAGAAAAAATATGCTTCCTCTCATGCACGCAGTCAGTCTGTCACTTTTCTTTCTTCATTTGACGTCGCACATACCCTGGTGTAAGTAAAAGAACGAAGGTAAGTGTTCGTAACAGTAGGAGACATTTTATTTTTCAATATTAGAACAATTTTTTTTTAAATATTTTTCACCACTCGATTTACATTTATTTAATACGTGGAAATGAGATACAGACCGATATATATTTAAACCTATATGAAACTAGGAAAGAAAAATCCAAAGATAATCTTTCAGTTTCTAAACATCTTGCCAATCAGTGATTATTCTACTAACGAGGGAACGTTTTCAACTGTCAAATCCCTTTTGAGTTCGGACTTTGTGCATAAGATAGACCCCCGTGAGGTATGAAAAATCCCAAAAGATTAAATCGCCTTAGGCCTTCTATCCAGAGTTATAGGCATTTTACTGGAATTTTAGTCTAGAGCATGGTATATACGAACAAATCAAATGACGATATTTCGATCTAAGATTTTGCCCACAGACAGATCTATTTATGAATAGAATGTCCTGAAAATTTTAGCTCAAAAGAATGTTTCCTTTCCAATATATTAAAGCCCCAAAAATGACTCATATACGACAAATGATGCTATGATTTTCTGTTTTTTAGGACTTTAATATCTTGGGAAGGAAAGGTTCTTTTGAGCTCAAATTTTCAAAACATTCTACTCATAAATAGATCTGTCTGTGGACATAATCTTAGATCGAAATATCGCCATTCGATTTGTTCGTATACACCATGCTCTAGACTAAAATTCCAGTAAAATGCCTATAACTCTGGATAGAAGGCCTAAGGCGATTTAATCTTTTGGGATTTTTCATACCTCACGGGGGTCTATCTTATGCACAAAGTCCGAACTCAAAAGGGATTTGACAGTTGAAAACGTTCCCTCGTAAGACGTAAGTTCTGAGTAACAGATTGTTCCTTCATAAAATATTATATTCTGGATACGTACTTATGTCAACATGACATACTTATTCACACAAAAAGTACTCAAGTCATAGAACAACAAAACGATAATTTCATACTGACATGAAACACATCCATCTAAACACACACATACACCATATTGAATGTTTCTGAGATTTAAAGTAATGTGGGTGATTCTGTTTCATAAATAAACATTTAGAATTATTTGCGCCTGTTATCTTCTATACAAAAAACAGTTGAAATCTAGAATATTTCTGTTTAGTCGATTTAGATTGTTGATAATGTCATTGCTGAAACAACAAATCAGCTCACAAGATGTTTTACAAAAATTTAGTTGATATCAATAGAGACTAACTAAAACTTTTCGTTCCAAATAACATATTTGAAAGGGCGGAAGATGCTGAAAGT